AGTATTCGGTACACTGCGTCTCACGCGAGAAAGAATAGAGAAGCTCGACTCGATTTCCAAGAGAAGGATTTTCAGAATTTGGAACAGTTGAGAGAGTAATTTGCCTTCTCCGAATGTGATGATAAATCGAAACGATTTGCAATATTAACGGCATTTCCGCATTTTACGGGGATTGACCATTGTTAAATAATTACTCATCCTCGATCATATATCAGAATTGGAGGAACTGAGATTAATCAGCCAGGAACACGTTTCACGTACCTTGATTACCTTTCGAATTGCTCATGAGAGGAAGAAAGGGTTTATTTTTATTTTTTAAAATTCGCGTGATCGATCCAAAATAATAAGATATCTGCTTACGAGCCGATATTTGACTCGAGATCTATATTTTCTCTTTAAAATGCTTCCATATGGATCTACCGTGGACGGAAAAAGATATCTTTTTTTTTTCTTAGAATTATGAATCGCAATGGTTTTCAAGAGCATTTTCAGGATTAGAGGGATAACAAATTTTGGCAGAATTTGAACATATCGTAAGGAAGACGTCTTCGTTATTACAGGATTGAGAAATAAGTGGGAGTAATTTTTTGGATATTTTATTCGTAGAAATTTTGTATTGATAATTCATATTAATTTTAATGTTTGCGCGATCGAAATGAGAATGATGTAATATCCTGATTGTCGAATTTTTAAAAATCGAGAATAAAGAATTAGAACGAAAGAACGTAATTAAAAGAAGAAAATTAAGAAAAAACAAAATTTTCATTGTTTTTCTTCTTCTTGAGATAAAATAAATAAATATTTCAAAGGACAATGAAACAAATCAACGAAGGAACACCGATTCTTTGCAAATTAACGCGAGATCTCTACTTTTATCATCGATTTACCTACGCTGAAACCGTTAAATTTAATCGTGTCTTTCCCTTTCTACTTTATATTCGATCACGAGATGGCGAAGGATCTTTCTTTGGATCTTGACGAATATTATATCTTACAAAAGGAAGAAAAGAAAAGGAGAGGAAGAAGAAATTGGAAAATGGTGATGAATCGTTTCGATCCTCGCCACATCTTGGCTCATAAATCTTTTTTTTTCTTTTTTCTTTTTTTTTTTTTTTCTTTTTCTTTTTTATATCCTAAAAATGCATCGCCAAGATTCGAACGCGGATGTGTATGTATGTGTGTGCGTGTGTGTGTGTGTATGCATGTGTGTGTATGTGTGTGATAATTATTCACGAATCAAGAAGAGCGAACGGACGATCAATGAACAGTACACACGTGGATAAAATCCGAATTCGTTTACTAGCAGAAAAATTTACAAAGTCGAAGAATGTACAGGGTTCGCGTGTAATGGTCGCGGTACGAAAGCGAGAGAAACTCGACAGAAGAAAATGGTTTTATTTTCGTTGGAAAGTTGGTCGATGCACTTCTCGTTGGCAAAGCATAAGCAGTCCTTTTCCTCGGTTTCTCGCCAGCGCCAGAACACTTCCTCGTTTCGACTTCCTTTATCCTCGTTTCTCCTCTTATTCATCGTTCATTCCCGACAACGCGATAACGAGGCTAATCCGATCGAGGCCCGCGTTTCATCATCTCGAAACCTTGAAAAATCTCGGCTCGTTATCTCTCCTCCGGCTCTCCTCCGGTGTGTGTGCTTTGCAAACAATTTAAAATTTGTTTTATTTTTTTTTTTATTCATTTATTTTATTATTTATTTATTTTATTATTTTTTTTTTTTCCCCCTTTTCATCTTCCTATTTACCCATCTCTCGTACTCTCGCGTATATATTTTCATTCTTTCCGCTTTCTGTCTTCTGTCGCTTTGTATATTTTTTTTTTTTTTCATTTTCTTTTAATTCAATTCACGTTATTAGGGTATAATAATTAATTAATTAATTAATTAATTAATTATAATAGTGTCATTATAATTCGTAATAATATACAACATTTGTCAATAGATCATTTATCCTAAAACCCACCGCATGCTCGTGACGAAATTAATCGGTTGCGTTTTAATCCTACTTTCTCGCCCCCAGAAAAAAAAAAAAAAAGAACATCTCTCCCTCTCACACTCGCATGCGCGATTTATCATTATTCCATTCTGTCTCTCGTTCGCGACGCAGCCACACGCAAAATCAAATCGCTCGCACAACTCTCTCTTCCTTCCCACAATGTTTCTCCTCCCGAATAATAGAACAGTGAAAAGTCGCAGTGGAAGTCAGGCATACCTCTCGAATTTTCCGGTTTTTTTTTTTTTTTATTTATATATATATATATATTTTTTTTTTTTTAGAAGAAACATCGCACTCTCTTTTCGTTTCTCTTTTCTCTTCTTTTTTTTTTTTTTTTCCCCTTCCTTCCTTTCTCTCTTCGCACACTCTCACGCCGTGGGGACTGTACTGGCATCACGCGTAACTTATCTATCTAATTCAATGATTCGTAGTCGTTAAGTGTGTGATCTCTGTGTACGTTGTGTTACGTTGTGGTATGCGCATAATTGAGCGCCTAAAAGAGACGACTCGCGCTTCTCTTTCCTTCGTCCCCGCGCATAGCCGAAAGAGCTATTGTGGATGTATACAATCGCGAGTAGTACAAACATTGAACTCGTCATTCCGCCATTTTGGTTTTTTTTGGAAATTTCGCAAAGCACCGTTTTTTTTCTTTTCTTTTCTTTTTTTTTTTTTTTTTTTTTTTTTTTTTCCCACCTTCTTCGAAACAAAACGTAACGGGAAGGAGAACGATCTGTGTGTACACGGATTCTCCTGAAAGTGATAAAGTATGTGTATGTATGTGTGTGTACGTGTGTATGTGACAATGCGTGTCTTGCATGTGACGCGTGTAATACGATGACTTTGTACATATTCTCGGGGGAGGGGGGGAAAAAAGTTTCTACCGTCCAGCAAAATCGAATCCGGCAAAAATCCGTTCATCTCGAGTGAAACCATCCGAAAGCGCAGAGTTCATGGACGTGATGAAACGCCGACGTTCGTGCCCTCTCCCCTATCTCTATATTATTCTTCGTGGATCCCTTTGTTTCGAAACGTTCGCTGACGAGCGCACGTTCGTCGAATCCCTTTCACGGGATTCCATATGCCGTGATGAGATCCCGCGAATTTTTTTATTTTATTTTATTTCTTTTAACGGAACGTTTGACTTTAGCGTAATATTTTTTTATCATCTCGTTGGTCAAATCTTATGGTTTGTCCCGGATGGTGAGATGATAGAGGTTGTGCAGGATTGATCATTGGGAGAATTCGAATTTCGCGGTCGGAAAATTTCGGGCAACATCGGGGGAGATCGCGAAAATGGAAGCGAGTCGGAAAAATTCGGGCGAGATCGGACGAGCAATAAGATATCGCGACTTCGCCCGAGCCCGCCCGAATTTTGCCGAGTCACTCCGAACCTCGGGACCCCGCGTATTTTAAAGTGAAAACGTGTCGACGACGCTTTAGGGTGGCTCGAATCTCTCTGAATTTCTATTTGAGGATATTTTCAGGCGAGATATTATCGAACTTGATCTTTCAGTATTGAAATGAATTGGTTTTACGAGAGTTGGTCTGATTTAATCCATTCATCGATATTACTCAATTTGATGCTGGAATAATCTTCAAATCGAATGATAACAATGAAGTGGATAGGCAAAATATCGCAGCGATTTCAAGAGGAATCGAGCCACGAAAAAAGGAACGTCGATTAATGATAAAAAAGAAAAAAAAAATACGCATAATCATTCGAATCAATTTAGAATCGACGACAGTTTCGAAAAGTCGGAATCGCAATCGCAAGCAAAGCTCGTACCATGTCCTCGTGGTGACACCAATCGAAGAAAAAAGAAAGAAAATTAATAAATATATACGTCTCGATAAAACTAAAGCGATGTTCTCTTCTTACAATTAAGCGTAGCGTATTGTGAGCGACGATTATACATTATACATCACGCGAACAACTTCGAAATTTCCTCTTTATTTGGACACGCTAATTTTCATCATTCTAAATTTCCATGATCGAGCGCGATAAAACGTTGTAAAAAAATGGAATAGGAAATTCATGTGAACGTTCGTGGTCCGCGCGAAAAGCAGCAGAAAAAGGAAAATTCGAACGAATTAACGAATAAAATGAATAGCGAGGAGAGAAAAAGAGAAAGAGAGAGAGAGAGAGAGAGAGAAAAAGAGAACAAAAGATAGATAGACGTTAGATTCGAAGATTCGCGTTAATCGAAAAGAAATTCAATATGGCGACGAGGATTCGAGTAAAAAAAAAAAAAAAAAAAAAAANAAAAAAAAAAAAAAAAAAAAAAAAACGCCAGTGAAAAACGTAGATATAATGCCCCGTTATACTTGGCGCGAGCTTAACAGCGAAGGAAGAGAACACAACGAATCACGAAGATTAATACAAAAATAGGAACAAACATATAAGCATACAATGAGGAACATCGTGTACAAACGTAACGCGCAAGGAACTTTAATGCTAGAATGATTCACAGTGTACGCAATCGTGCCGCGTATAAAATGTTTCGCTTCTTCTTCTTTTTTTTTTTTTTTTTATTTTTCTTTCTTTTTCCTCGCCGCCCATTTTCGAGAGGAGATTTTATATATATATACGTGTCTCGTTCGATCTCGTGTCAAAAGTCAAAAACTCAAAAATTATCGTCGATCAATCGACGACACGATATTTGTTTTTGAAAAAACAACGTTACGGCTCTTTGTACAATTATATTCGTAGCGCGACGAAAAAAAAAAAAAAAAAAGCACATGCACATCGTAGAAACTCGTGAAAATTATACTCCACGAGGGTCACACAATGATTGGACGTGGATACGCGCTATGCTGGATATGGTATCGCGCGTGTGATAAAGCGACGAATAACCGTGAAACGATAAACAGCGAGAGAGTATGTGCGCTCGAAGAAGAAAACGAGAATTGATTTTTTTTTTTTT